CTGAGTGACTATCCAAAGCCCAACAAAGTCTAGAGATTGAATAGACCCACAACCTAGCCCATGCTCCTAATGTCACATTTGATCACCAAAAAAACAGCAGAGACAGCAGGAATATTTCAATGGAGGACCCGAAGTTCCCAAGTCCACATAATTCTGGAAGAACCACCTCACCTAACTTGCCTGTTTTACCTTAACCTCTTCATGATTATTTCAGATAGAAAGAAAAATATGTCTGCTCGAAGTCCCATCTGAAGATTGTGTGGTAAAAGAGAGAAAGATTGAATGGTAGACTGGTTTTGTGTTACTTGATAATGAGACCAATAGAGAAATATGAAATCTGCCAGAAATAGAGAAATATGAAATCCCAGAGAGGTCAAATGTCACTCAGTTACTTCTTTTATTCAGATATTCCTCAAAGAGGAAGTTGCATTATAGGAAAGACTTGGGGACTGAGAATCGAGGCTACAGAGAAATCCCACTGTATGTCCAGCCCTGTTATGTGCAAAGCCCTTTGTGTGAAGCTGCTTTCAGCTGAACGAGAATACAAGAGGCACTCTTCATATTGGGCTGATGTCATTAGGAACCCTGAAGGCAGATGGGGAGGGGGAATGGGTTGGTCCTAACTGTTCTGTCTCCGCAGAGCTTAGTTTGAAGAGGAGACAGAAAGAAGGGAGGAGTTCTAAGGGCTCACTTGGTCACCTAGACTCTTAAAAGAGCATCAAATTTGGTATTAGCTACTCCAAATATGGTGCATACAATGGATGCCTGACAAATAGATGGTCAGTAAGTGTTTATTTAATGAGTGGATAAAACAGGCTTCCATTCGAATGTCCTGGAGAACTGTGCTGGGAAGGATACGATACGGAAGCAGCTTTGGAGCTCAGCTGGAATGGATGGTGTGACTGCTGAGTGGTGTCTGCCATGACGTGGAATAAGGAAGCACAGCCTGAAGATGGAGTCAGAATTTGCATCTTATATAGTGCAGTGGAAATGTCAGCTTACTTCACAGACTTGTGTCCCTCAAACCTACATATGGAAATGTCAAAGAGAACAAAGAGCAGAAAGAGAATAGTTGGTGAGGAGAAAAAGCATTAGAAAAATCAAAAATCGAAAGAGCAGACAGAGGGAAAAGTGTCAACAGAGAAAAGAAGGAAAATGGCGTAGGCTGCCAAGTCCTGGCCTCGCTTTCACACAGGCCTTCTGTCTTTACCAACCAGATTAAAAGGACTGAAGGGACCACAGTGTTCTTATTTTGGGGTCAGACCACAAACAATCCTGGGGGGAAGAGCAGTCTTGGAGGGGAAGGAGGTGACAAAGCAACTTTCAAAACATCAGGTTAGTATGGGCACGGAGAGGGGCACTTGTGGGGATGAGCACTGGGTGTTATATGGAATCCAACTTGACAATAAACTGTTTGTAAAAAACAAACACACAAACAAACAAACAAAAAACCGTCAGGTTAGCAATCAACTGTTCAGAAAAGAAAAGGTTGCCACTGTTAACTGATACCTCCTGGTTTTCCAGAACCAAGTGTATTCCAGAGCGTATAAAAGTTATTGTCCCCTGATCCCTTCATCTAGCGGCCATTTGGCTGGTTTCCTGGCTCCCTGCTGAAAATAAGAAAGGGATTGGTCCCTACAAACACAGCCAGAATTTCCTGCTCGTGTCAGACCACAGGTGAAATGCAGGGATCAGAAACACCTGGACCAGCTCCAAGCCCACACAGAACTGAAGCTCGTACAAGAATCATGGTTTGGCTCAGAAGGGTGCACGTGCTCACACTGAGAAAGAAAGCAGACATGGGACTTCCCTCTTGCGTCTTTCTGGGGGAAGTGAAACCTCTCTTCTATGCAGAGATGCCTAACCTTTGTAGAAAAGTTGCTTTTTCCTCTAGAGACCAAAGTTGGGTCTCTAGATGGAGGGCAGCCATCTGGAGGGTTTCCGCGATTGCACATGCATTTCGGCACGAAAGCAGAGGAAGTTGCTGGTGAGCAGAGCAAAGCAAGAAACGAATGGGTGAGCCCCTGTCGTCCAGGTCTCATGGCCACCGCCATGAGCAGCGTTCCTGAGGGGGGCATGCAAGTTCAGGCCCTACTGGAATTCCCATCTTTTATACTTCTCTTTTCATTGTTTCCCTGTGAACAGAAAAGAGACCTTCCTTGAACACGGCAAAGAGTCATAGGCTCTATATCATTTGAGGTATATGGAGATTAAAAATTAATAATAATAATCAGTTTCTTTTGTTTCTTAAATTGAGTACTTGCTGCTTATTTTCCGGAGTACAAAAGCAACAATTATTCAATACCCATCCCTGCATTTGGAACATAGTAGATTCTCACTAAAAATGTGTCAAATGTGTCTGTATTTTTTGAGTTTTCAAAAAATACAGCAAAGTACGAGGGATATTTTTCACATAATTGTAAAACCTGCCAGCAAGATATCATATTTTTTTTAAGTTTATTTATTTATTTTGAGAGAGAGAGAGTATGAACAAGGGACGAGCAGAGACAGAGAGAGAGAGAGAAAAGAATCCTAAGTATGCTCCGCATGCTCAGCGTAAAGCCAGATGCAGGGCTTGATCCCACGAATCGTGAGATCACAACCTGATCCAAAACTAAGAGCTGGATGCCCAACCGACTGAGCCAACTAGACACCACCATATAATTTCTTATGTTACTAAAAGTCTGTGAAAATGTGATTATGATGGCTGGAAAATATTTTGTCATAGGGATGCAATATAATTTTGCTCTTTTTGGCTTTTTTAGCTGCTTTCCACTTTTTGCTCTGGTAGAGCTGAAGAAGGCAGTCCAAAAACATGATGGCTGGGTGTTCAGAGATACAGGAACACCTGAATAGAGAATTATCTATATTTACCTTGCTTATATTCTCATTGCGGAAGAGTGAGAACTCAACAGGATATGTTACTAGGCAAACAAAAAATAATAAATTGTCAGCTTGTCTCCAAAACTGTGTGACATGTGAGGGTTTTCTCATGATGATGAAGCCTAGCCCCGTGACAGTCTGGGGAGGCGTGTGTGGGAATTTCAAGACTTACTGAAAATGCTTGAGGGCACTCAGCTCTAATTTTTCTAGTCCTAGGACTATTTGAATGAGCTACAAATTTATAACTAACTTGTTTATAAATTAGCCAGGATATCCCAGGCGCAAGCTTGCTTCTCTGGACAAATATAAACTGGACACTCGTTCAGACATTAATCCTTTTTGGATATAAATGAAGTCCTCCAAGCGTGATAATCTAGGCATGAATAAACCTAGAGCATCACCAAGGTTTTAATAATAACTAGTGAACTTCAACCTGTGAACCTAGACAACTGGCTTTGTTCTATCTGTAAACACCTGTCACTGCATCTGTGGTGATATTATGGTCATTCATTTCCCTGAAACCTTTTCCAGGATGTGTACAGGAGATAGTGTAGTGATATCTTTAAGCTGAAATATGACATTTTCTTTTTTTTTCTTTGTTCCCAATGTCTTTTTAATTAATTAATTTTTATTTTGAGAGAGAGAGAGAGAGTAAGCGGTGGAGGGGTAGAGGGAGAGAGAGAGAAAGAGAAAGATTGAAAATCTCAAGTAGGCTCCACTCTCAGTGCAGATCCCAACTCACCACTCAATCCCCCAACCCTGGGATCATGACCTGAGCTGAAATCAAGAGTCAGACACTCAACCAACAGCCACCCAGGTGCCCTGAAACATGACATTTTCAACCTCAGCACTGCATCTGGTTTGTGATATGATTTGGGGGGACATGAGGGTACAATTGGGAGCTTCCTTAATTTCCTTGGATTCTTTGGTTACCACTGAATGTGCTAAGAGGCACCTTACTGGTCTCAAAGAAGTAATGGAGCCGGGTGTCTACTAATCCTGCTATTTGATCCGTGGGTCTGGAAACACTGTTCCAAAGTATGGAGTCTAACAGACATAGTATTAGCACACAAAAGGACCTTCATGAAATTACGTTCTCCTAATGACAGAATGAATGGATTGCTGCTTTAAAAAAATGAGTAATAAAGAGCTACATTCTTTTTTTATGTACCTATACTAAGCACATGAACTTAACAGCAGAGTGAGGAAGTAAAGCTATAATAGCAGGTACCAACTTATTGCCAACGATACACACACACAGAGGATGTAGAAGTGTGTAAATACATACACATATGGTCCTTGGCCACTGTCTGCTTTTGATAAGTCCAAATCTAGATTATAGTATAGATTTTTCTGTTTTAACATTTCTACCTGAAAGGAAACAACACAGTGTGGGGACCACTTGCCTTCACTCTGAATGCTGAGGACAATGCAGACTGAGGTTCACAGAATCCACTTCAGGTCCCTTCAGCTCTGCTTCAGGAAATGGCACCTCCATAGCCTGGACTATTACGCTTGTAACAGTGGAATTCCACAGGACTTGTGCCCAAGATTTTCACTCCTTTCTTGTGTGTGAATTGCCTTTACCCTCAGGTGAAGGCAAAACCCAGCCCTCGGCCTTGACATACAGCTACTAGCCTAGGTAAGGTGGAGGCAGCCTGTCTCGGCAAGGATGATGCTACCATTCACCTCTGCATTTACAGTAAAAGGAAACTGGTATCGGAGTCCCAGGAGAGAGCAGTTCAGGAAACTAAAACATCAAGAGAGTGGGTAAAAAAAAAAAAAGCAAAACGAAAGCTTTCTTTCAAAGCCGGAAATCTCCCATGGAGGAAGCGCTAAGACATGTGGTCGCACTTTTTCTGAGAGCCCCCCACAGCTGTGGAACGAGCCTGGGGCTGGGGGCTGGGGAGAGGTGGGCAGTGAGGGTGGTTAACTGGTAAGGATATAGCTAGTACAACTTGATTTCCTCAAAGTCATGATGGACCTTAGTATTCCATCTGATTCTCATTTCCCCGTTTTGCAATTAGAGCAGCCCAAAGAGGAACTGGTGGCTTTAGGAGAGCTGCTGTGTGTATTTTGTATCAGCAACTGCCTTCTTTCTCATCTGTTCAGTTTGCGCCAAGCTCGCTGGCCGCTGCTTAGGGCTGGCGGGTGGCCGGGGCTGTCTGAGCCATGAACGGCCTCAGGGGTGCTATCCTCTTGTGGGCATTGGTAGCATGGGCTCAAGCGGATGAGCCTCTGGGCGAGACAGATGAGACTACATTTCAAAAATGCAGGAATGCCTTAAAACTACCTGTTCTGGAAGTCTTACCCGGAGGGGGCTGGGATAACCTGCGGAATGTGGACATGGGACGGGTGATGGACCTGACTTACAGGAGCTGCAAGACCACAGAGGATGGACAGTACATCATCCCCGACCAGGTCATCAGCATCGCCCAGAAACAGAGCAACCTGGAGATGAACTCCGAAATCCTGGAGTCCTGGGTGAATTACCAGAGCAGCACCTCCTACTCCATCAACCTGGAGCTCTCCCTTTTTTCCAAGGTCAATGGCAAGTTCTCCTCTGATTTCCAGAAGATGAAGACCCTTCAAGTGAACGACCAAGCCATAACGACCCGGGTTCAGGTGAGAAACCTGATCTACACAGTCAACATCAACCCAGCTTCAAAGCTCAGCAGGGGGTTTACGAAGCAGCTCTTGGACATCTCTGATCACCTGGAGAACAACCAGACGCGGATGGCCACCTACCTGGCAGAACTGCTGGTCCTCAACTACGGCACCCATGTCATCACCAGTGTGGGTGCCGGGGCTGCTCTCATCCAGGAGGACCATATCCGAGCCTCGTTCCTGCAGGACAGCCAGAGCAGCCGCATTGCCCTGACCTCATCCGCTGGCGCTGCCTTTTTGGACGTCGTGAACTTCAAATTTGAGGAGAAGTACACCTCACAGAACGCCCTCACCAAGAGCTACCTCTCTAACCGAACCAACTCCAGGGTGCAGAGCATCGGAGGGCTTCCTTTTTACCCGGGCATCACCCTTCAGGCCTGGCAGCAAGGCATCGCCAACCACTTGGTGGCCATTGATCGCGACGGCCTGCCCCTGCACTTCTTCGTCAACCCCAACATGCTGCCCGAGTTGCCGGGGCCGCTCGTGAAGAAGCTGTCCAGGACGGTGGAGGCTGCTGTGAGACACTATTACGCCTTCAACACCTACCCTGGGTGCACAGATGTCAATTCGCCCAACTTCAATTTTCAGGCCAACACTGATGATGGCTCTTGCGAGGGAAAAATGACCAATTTCTCCTTTGGGGGAGTTTATCAGGAATGCGCCCAGCTCTCTGGGAAGGAGTTTGTCCAACTCTGCCAAAACCTGGAGCAGAAGAATCCGCTCACTGGCGATTTCTCCTGCCCCTCTGGCTACTCCTCAATCAACCTGCTGTCCCAGGTTCATGAGGAGGGTTACAACCACCTGGAGTGCCTGCGGAGGTGCACCTTCCTCGTCTTCTGCAAGACGGTGTGCGAAGACGTGTTCCGGGTGGCGAAGGCTGAATTTAGGGCTTTTTGGTGTGTGGCCAGTGGGCAGATACCAGAAAACTCAGGACTGCTTTTCGGGGGCCTCTTCAGCGGTAAGAGCGTAAACCCTCTGACGAATGCACAGTCGTGTCCACCTGGCTATTTTCCACTGAGACTCTTTGAAAACCTCAAGGTATGTGCCTCTCAGGACTATGAGCTGGGCTACAGGTTTTCGGCCCCCTTTGGTGGGTTCTTTAGCTGCACAGTCGGGAACCCCTTGGTGAATGCTGCCCTATCCAGAGATTTAGAGGCACCTTCTCTAAGAAAGTGTCCCGGGGGCTTCAGCCAACACCTCGCAATCATCAGTGACGGGTGCCAAGTGTCCTACTGTGTCAAGGCGGGGCTGTTCACGGGAGGGACTCTGCCCCCTGCCAGGCTGCCACCGTACACCCGGCCACCCCTCATGAGTCAGGCTGCCACCAACACCGTCATGGTGACCAACAGTGAGACTGCAAGCTCCTGGATCAAGGATTCTGAGACCCACCAGTGGAGGCTGGGGGAGCCGTTAGAGCTACGCAGGGCCATGAGGGTCATCCGTGGGGATGGCAGCGGTCTGTCCGGAGGGGCGGCCGCCGGGGTCACAGTGGGGGTCACCGCTGTCCTGGCGGCCGCCATCACCCTGGCCATCTACGGCACCCGGAAGTACAAGAAGAGGGAATACCAGGCCTTGGAGGACGAGACGCAGAGTTTGGCCGCAGGCCTGGCAGCGCCTGGAGATGCCCCCAGCCAAGAGCGGGAGCAGAGTCCTGCTTAAGTCTGTCCCAGGAGACATTTCTCCCACCTCTGGCCAGAGCTGCAAACCTGCCTCTCCCTCCTTCTCTCCCCACTTCTGCCTGCCTGAGGACTGGAGTGGCAGGTGCAACGAAAAGCAGGTATAACTTTGTGACTTCCTTAGGGCCCTGGGCCAGGAAATAAACAGAGAGCTCTGTGGACAGGGGTTGGGGTAGGGGAGGAGCGCGCAAGTCATTGGTCATGGGGGGGGGGGGCGGGGAAGGGGCTAGAACACAAAGGGGGTGTCTTTTTTCTGTGTGCGTCATGGATTATCTTCACCTGAATATCTATACGTGAAAAGAGAGGAGGGGGCATGGTGATCTTTGGATTTGGAGACATGCATTTAATCTGAGGTCGGCCACAGTTTCCGATTCATGAGCTATAAGAATTTCTGCCTGTACGTGTTACCCTCCCTCTGTTCTGTTCTGTTTTGTTTTGTTTTGTTTCTTTTAAATCTCTCTGGATTTCATACTCCTGGAGGCTGAATGATCCCCTAGAAGACACGGGAAGTGCCACGATTTTCAGCTTAGAGGGCTCTGCCCTGATGGACTGGGCCCTCCAACCATATCTGAACAGAAAGATATTATCTCTACCAAGTCCACGTTTTCCCCCTTTCCAGCCACAATTCAGACTTACACGAGCTCTCTCTTGGCCTTCAGACTAGTGTCGTGAAGTCCTCAAAAAAAGATTTTAACTTATAATCTTCTATCAGAGGGTCAATGGAGAAAGGATGGTTTGGAGACAAGGTGTGAGGAGAGAAAGGGTGAAAATTGGAAAAGATCCTGGTGCTCAGGGTAACTGGAATTCTTTCCTCCAACCTGGCGGATGGAGCTGCAGATTTGGGTAAAACAAGCGTTACATTTTCTTGGTCTCTATTACCAGAGCACTGCCCTTTCTTTTTCCATGAGTGGCCCTTCCCCTTCCCGTCCCTGTATTGCATGTACACACCCCCAAATACACATGTGCATGCATCCATAACTCCCATGCCCCCAACACATGCACCCCCAAACACACCCCCACCCGCAGCTCCCCCAAACACACACACACACACACACACACACACCCATAGACATGCACACACTACATTCAGACAATAGGTCTCTATTTTTCTAGGGGCAGGAGACAGGGAAAAATGTAAGAAGTCAAAATAAGCCCACACCCAAGTATTATTTCCTCCCTAAAACCAAAACAGAGTAGAAACCACCAATTATGTATCCTACCTTTGTTTCTTTTGTTTTGTTTTGTTTTCCGGCAGAAAAAAGACTGACATGACCAAATCCCTGTCTTTAAATGAAACCAAAAAGGCGCCCAACATCCACTATGACACATGTGTTTCAGTCCCAGGCTGACTTCCCTCAGGCATCTAGCAGGGTGTGTGCCTGTTACCTGGCATTTGGGGCTTTGCCCAATTTTAATACCAATGTCGAATTATAATGATTAGGGTGAGTCTATTAATACTTCTCCATGACATCTTTTAAAAATTTTCTTTTTTATTAAGTAAACTCTACCTCCAACGTGGGGCTCAAACTCACGACTCTGAGATCAAGAGTCACATACTCTACTGACAGAGCCAGCCAGGTGCCCCTTCTCCATAACCTTTCTAATAGTTGTACATCTCTTCGCCAAGTCAAATGTCACTAATGAGTTCGTTTCATGAAGGATAATGTGTCCTCGCCTCGTTAACATTCACAGCGGAGAGCTTAGGTTCACAGAAGTCCTTCTGAGGAGCCTGAACATCCCAGCCTGTGGGAAGGCGGGAAGGGGGTCCTTGTCCGCCTCCCACGGTGAGTCCGAAGCGAGTCACAGAAGGTGAACCCTGCTCCCCCCGGCCGGCCAGCCACAGGCACTGATTTCTACATCCTGTTCTTTGAACCCTGCCTCTTAAGCATTAAAATATTCTCTTAAACCTCTGGGTGTCTTGTGGGTAAATTTCAGCTGAGCTATCCACTTTCCTGCAAATTTCCCACAAATGCCTTAAAGATTATGGAGTCAGAGAGACAACGGTCCAGCTATAGGTTGCCGGACTTTGCGTTAACTGCCCTTGGAAAGAAAAACTCTTCACAGATTTCTGTTTCTCACAGAATTATGCATAACTATGCATTTAAAATGTGTACTTAAGGAACACTGTCCGGCTGTGCATCCACAGGAAATGAGAACGCAGGGCTTTGCAGTTTGCAATCATCATTTTTGCAAAGTCAGGACCCAGAGAGCGGAGAGTTCACAGGCTCTGCTTTCCTGATCCGTGAGCTCTTGGTGCTGTGGGAGGACTAACCCTGGCTTCCACCAAAACCACACTCCCTAGACTCTCAGAAATAGAGTCACATGTGGGTGCCAAAGGGAGCTTTGCGTCTGCATTTTGTGTTTGTGTGAGCATCGGGATGATCACTACTACACATGTATTTGACACTCAACAGCTGGTCAACTATTGAAAGCTACACTACATTGTCCTTGGGCGCTGGGCACTGTAAAAAGCAAACATTCATGTGTTTTAAGACGGTCTTTTCCCCACAGATTCACTTACATTTCTGCTGCCATGCGGTCTCTTTCTTGAGAGGAACAAGCAGTCAGGCCAAGTCCCTTGGTCAAATGTGTGGGTGCGAAAGATGGGGGGGAGGGGAAGAAAGAAGGGAATCCCCCGCCCCCAATCAGTGGAAGGGGTTGTGGTTGCTCCCAGACTGGGTGAGGTGCCCCAAATGCCTCATAGTTAGGTGCCCTGACCTACAAAAAGCAGAAGGGGAACGGCAATTTGTGGTTGTTCATTTGCCATTTATTGTTCTGCACATACACCTCATGAGCACCAGGTGGCGATGTCCTCTCACAGAGCAACACCAAGGGACTTCACAACATACCGGTCACAGGGATTTATCTTAGGACATTCACCTTCCCTCTCCCAGAAAACCCCCACCCAAATGCCAGTGACCACGGACAAGGGAAGGCGACGGAGCCCCTTCCTGTACCACGCAGGGCCTCCCCCCACCACCCCCATGCACACAACAGTGCAATACCAGGACGCGTACTTTTGACCAAGTATAAAACCACAGAGAAAGTCCAAGTTCTACAAAACGGCGGGTGGGGGAGGAAGGGTATGAAACACGAAGGCACGCACAACCACGTATACACAATTAACGTCTAAGGGACGGGCATCTGACAGAGTTTGTCTGCAATCCCATTTGTCATTCCTGGAGACTCAGGAAGGGAGAAACCAGGCAGCTGGTGGTCTGGCCATGACAAGCCAGGCATGGGGTGCCCTGTGCAGCCCAGCGAATGTGGCAGGAGCAGCACTGGTAGGGAAACGTCCCGGGTCCCAGGGGTGGATGCTCAGGACCTCTGCTGGCGGGGTGCTCAACTCGCCGGAGACCTTGCTTTTCTAGGCTGCCTCCCCCCGACTTCTCCTCCCCCCCCCCGCCCTGCCTGGCACAGTGTTAAAAGAAAATTCAAGATCCTTCTGCCCAGAAAGCCCCACAGAAGGGCAACACGAGGAGGCAGTCACCCTTATTGAGCATCCTCGGGGAGGAAAAGAACGAGGGTGTAGACAGTCAGCATCCTAGGGGGAAGGTCTTGAAGGTATGAAGACTTACCCTCGAAGTGGTATTCCCCCTGGCCTGCTTTATTCATTCTGAGTCCCCTTCCCTGCCCATACCTCCTGCCCGATGCATGGAAATCAGCCTCTCCCCACTGCCCATGGCCAGGTGTCAAAGCTTATTTTCTTCTTCCCCACCTCCTGCTCCACAGTTGGGTGTTTCTATGCACTGACCCTCGATCTGTTTCTTCATCCCTGTGGGTGAGAAGCTCCGCATCAGACACTTGGCCCAGGTGCTGAAGGGCGGAGATGGTACTAGGTGTACAGTGAGGCTCTTCAATGATCTCTGGAACAGGGTGGCCTGGCCAAGGGCACGGGGTGTGATATTAAATGCCACAGCCATGTCTTTTCTGTTGAGTTCAAGTGTTTCCTCCCGACTGGCAGGAAACTGTGCCCTGTGGTGCAGTGGACTCGCACCCAATCCCCTGGTCCACTGGTGAGAGAAGATGGTGGCCGGCTGACCGGAGACACGGGCACTGAGATGTCAGGGACGATTCCTCCCATCAGAGCTCCCCCTGCTGGAGCCAGGCAGCACCCCGACAGCCATTCAGAGAACAAGGGAAGGCTCAGCACCAGCACCTCCCAAGGAACTGGTGAATCCACTGGCCACACCAATGCCAAAATGGCTGTAGGCACACAGCAAGGGGCTACGCAGCCAGCTCTCGGGAAAGCCTGGCTTCAGGTTCTAACTTAAGTACCGTTTTTGAAGGTTCTTTTGTTTCCATTTTTCTAGCATCAAAAACCTTCCAAATATTATGAAATATATATGGATATATATACGTCAAACCCCCAAAACATGAGGTATATAAATTCAAATTAGTATCCAGAGGAACTTCCCCCAAACACATAGTTCAAAGAACCCACTTTCAAAGGGGGAATTGGGTTTCCTTTCTTGATCCCCCTTCTCTCCTCCCTGACCCCCAATTCATTCCTGAAGGGAAGCGAAAAACAAGAGGAATGTTGGGGAGGGGACAGACAGGGTCTTGGGACACAACCCAAATGCAGGTTGGACTGGACCATGCATGATGTGGTCCCAATCCTGTTAGGAATGAGCTAAAAAGGCTCCCTCCATGCTCTAGGTCAATCTGTAACAGGTGAGGGGCCCAGCACCACCTCTGGGCTCTGATTAGCAAGGGTGCATGGAGACAGACCGAAGCCCTCATAGAAACAAGACTGGACGGACTGGTTTTAGATCCAATCTTGAAAGAGATATAAAAGGGGGTCAGTCCAGCCCTCCCCTGACACTTCTCCCCAAGCCCTGTTCCCTGGGGCATCTAGCAAGAGGAATGATTGTTACTATCTGGGTCCAAGTTTACTGTGGGAATGGGTCAGCAAAGGGTGAAGAAAGTCAAGGAACCATGGCCTGGCTGTTTGATCCCTATCACAGCTGGAGTTTGACAGTTTGCAAAAAAAATACAAAAAAACAACAGGAGAACAGGATGGGACTGTCCACCAACCTGGCCCAGTGGTGCACACTCGCACGCACACACACACTTATGTGCATACAAAGATGGCACAGAGCCCAGCATGGGCTCTACTCACAGTGACTTGATGAAACTCATGGAATCTCTGAGCTGGTCT